TTTTATCGTACCGATATGAAATGGTAATCGAAGGGAATGGACGTGCGGGGAAAAGTCGACGGACTGTGGTGTCTCGGAAAACAAATCTGAGATGAAGGGGCTCAAATACCTGTCCGGGATAGCGAACAACAAGTAATCAACCTTGCGGGGTTGAACTTGCTGTTTCGAAACGTTACAACGATTCAAGAAATAACCCTGGAGAATGCAGTTATTAGCAAATGGCAACGTACCAGCAGTCACGCGGCATCTAAGTAGAGACAATGTCCTTTTATTCGCGCAGCGCAGTCTGTTGGGAAGGGCTTGGATCCCGTCCGGGGTAGTAACGGGACATGAAACAGCCCAGTCGATTAAAGCAACATCCGTCTTCGTTTTCCGTGGCGTCCGCTCCTGCGCGGCAGGGGCATCTGGAAGTATAAGTTCTTACCCAAGTTGAATGGAAAGAGTCCATCGGAAACAGTGCCGTATGACTTAATGCAATCGTTTAGTCCGTACGGATAAACCGAATTAATAACCTTAATCCAAAACAATTCGCGGTCCTGCAGAGAGAATCGGGCGGTGTCTACTGTTTCCAAAATTTCTATCCCTAATGAATCAGGTCCATGGTGAGGTTGCTGAAAGTGCCTGTACGGAATAGTCTGAGCTTTATGGACACCCAAGCGATGTTCCCTTGCTCTTTCACGAAGACTCCTGGAAGTCTGCCCAACGTACTGCATACGACGAGTCCTGCATGTAACCAAATAAATGATGCCCTTGTATTGTAGGTAAGGGGCACACCAGGTTGACAAAGGAGAATAAGGCACAGCCACTGATGGTGGCTTGTACCAACCCAGAGGAGGCAAACATACGGCAACAGAGGAGTTGCTGCAGCAGGGAACTGTGGCGAGAATTCGACTAAAGTTATCAGATGTGGGGATCCGAAGAATATTCAGATGACGATCAATGCGGAAAACATTCCTGATTGCGCGACCACCCCTAGATAAAGCCGGATCATCCCGGGACGGTCGGGAGGAGGATCCGCCATTGCTAAAAGTATATTGGTTATTTGCTGACCATGAAAATAGGTAGGCGCCTGGCCAAGGACGGCTACTTCTTAAGACCCGCGCTACTGGGCAGGGCTGCTGCCTATCGGGCCACGACCAGAACCCAAAATACTGCACCACAGCCAGGCGGTGACGGGGGTCTTTGTCCGTCATCCTTTTAACCGGTAACCAGAGGTGGAGCTCCCTAAGCCTGTTGCGGCCGAGAGGTGGGAAACTTTCTGAAGTCATTTAATAGTGAATGTGTAGAAGTGAAGGCGAGTTGATTGGGTTGCGATGTACTAAGAGCATAGTTAAGAAGGGGCCACCTAAAGAACATGTAATAAAGGCGTGTAAGGCATATATGAAACAGGAAGATGCATATTTAAAAATGTGTATGTAGGAGAGGCGAAGGGGCGGGGTGAGGGAGAGGTGAGGGAAGGGAGACCCATTGGTTAAGAAAAAGGGCATGGAAAGTTGTAACCCGGAGTAGAAGAGGGTATGCGAAAACTGGCTGCACATACCATTGTTAACCGAAACGCTTAGGTCTCCATTAAACTGCAATGACAGGAAACGCATGAACTTTATAAACATTTACAATACTGTATAAAGAAACATGGAACGTGTGCATATCAGAACAGCAGAGATACTTAATAACCTTAATGAAAGCAGAGTCTCTTGAGATATGGCGCATGGGGAAAATCTCGTATGGTCGATCCAGGCATCGCGTAATGCAGAAAACACCCAAACTGAGACTGTGCCGGGGGTATGCGAGGGTCGCGCATAGATCAGTATCAAAAATGAAGCACGGCCATAAGGGCAGACCGAAATTGCAAGTGGCGTCGTCACAAACAACCGGCGCTGCATCTCGAAACTTTTGGGGCCACACGAGCATCTGATCAGCTCGTAGCACCAGCACCTCCATTAATCATCGTATTCGAAAAA